TCCCCTCATTATGTTTTTAAGACTCACAAAGTCAAAAACCGTATCAGCTCTGCGTGATGGTACACTCATTCCAGTGCTCCCCCCCCCCCAATATACTGGCTGAATAAATAAATGAAAAACATATTGTGTTTCCATACTTTTTGGTATCCATGGCATGAAGCACTTTTAGGCTCTGTTTATTAGAAATTTGTCTTCAATTTACTCTATAAAACCAGAATAAAAATACTAAACTTTTAAGGTACTTGTAAGATGGGGTAGGTCAGTGACTCTTAACTGGAGGCATTTTGCCTCCCCGGGGGACATACCTATACCTGGAGACATCTCTGGACATTCACAGCAACTCCGCAGTGGAAGAATTATCCGGCTCAAAATTTGAATAGTGCTAATGTTGAGAAATCATGGAGTAGGTGTCAGTACGGAGAACCTGGATGGTCAAAGGTGATTTTTATTTTACTCTACATTTTGGAGTTCACCTCTTTGGATTTCACAAATCATAACAAGTACACCAAGAAAGACAGTTTTATGTATTATGTCCTTGTCACGTGTCTGGCCCCTTACAGCTTTTCAAAAATATTATCTTATTTAATCCTCTCAACAGTGCTGTTGAGTTAGGAACTATTTTATCCTCATTTTTCAAGTAAGGAAACTAAGATTTAAAAGGTTTAAGTAATTTATCCAGCTCTTCGGGACCAGAGGTGGAGTGAGGACTCAGAGGCTATGGCTTTGATCATTATACTCTGCTACTTTCTCTATAAATTCAGTCTCTATCTTAGGATTTCTCTTAAGAAATTTCCAAAACAGACTTCTCCAAAGAAGGATTTCGCCCCTTAGTATTTAGTAGGAGTTACAGCTGAAAATATGGAGATTTCAGCTTGCTTGTCTTAAAAATCATTATTGCCTAGGTGGCTGTGATTTTGCACTTGCAGTGATTTGAACAAAGATACAGTCTACTGGCTGACATAACATATAGACTGTCATTGATCCAAGAATTAGAACAAGTCTACCACGCACAGTTATTTTGTGGGATTCCCAAGAAGCAGAAAGGAAGCCCTGAGAGTTTGTTTTCATTCAGCGTTGAACTTGTCATAGCTGATCAAGACAGTGTGATCCAGATGAGGTTTTGCTCCTGTTGAGGGGGATAAACAGTGACAGTTTGCCCCATGTAATCCCATTAGGAGCTTTCTTCAGGACCACATCCTCTTCTTTTGTAATTATCCAAGAACCACTTATAAGTAAAGCACACCTACCAGAGACCAAGACCTGGGGCAAAGGCTTGGCTGCTAGGGTTTTTCTTTTCCCCTTTCAGGGAACACGATTGAAGCAAGTGGAATATTTGCCATTTGGATACACAGTGAGGGCCCACAGCTCCATTCCTGAATACTTTGTTGGCGCCCAAGCATTATCACGGTTGTTGTTCAGTCGCTAAGTCATGTCCCACTCTTTGCGACCCCATGGCCTGCAGCATGCCAGGCTCCTCTGTCCCGCCCTGTCTCCCAGAGTTTGCTCAAATTCACCTCCATGGAGTCAGTGAGGCTCTCTAGCCAACTCATCTTTTGCCGTCCCCTTCTCCTTTTGCCTTCAATCTTTCCCAGTATCAGGGTCTTTTCCAGTGAGCTGATGCTTCAATCATGAGTGCCTTGAGGCTATTCATGGATAAAGTTTCTAAACAAATCCTACTGTCTTCAGATATTAGTTTGCTGTTTCTAGGACCTTAAAACTGGGCTTGTAAATGCAGTGAAGAAGCATCTGTTATTTTTACATAAGACTTTGAAGACCCTGGGGAAGTTATTTTTTTCTCCCTTGGAAAATTCTGTTCCTTGTGCACTACTTTCACACTTGGAAGATTCCTGTGGAATCCTCAAAAATGTGTTAGATTCTATTCTTTTAGTCTCACTTTCCTACCTCTTTTGAAGAGGAAATGCTAATAGCACCAAACAGATTTTTGTTCTTAAATAAATCACGCTTTATGAGAGTGTGTTCCTCTGATTACAAATAACTCTTTCAGCTCCTACTGGGTATTAGTGTCTGTCATTCAGACATACATCTCCAAGGATCTGTTGAAGCCAAGTGATATATTTGGTCATTGTGCTACTCTCCTTATAAGATGTCATTTACAGATAAGATGTAATTTGAGACCATCTCCCCGGGACCAAAGTGATTAGTATGCCTTACACTTTTGGTCTTCTCAAATCAGTCACTTGACATGCTCTTGCATTTATTTTACATTTAATAAATTAAAGCATTTGGATGATTAAGAAAGACGGCACTGTGTTTAGAGCAGTGTTTCCCAAATTTCATTGTGCATGCCCTAGGCTCTTGCTAATCCCGCATTCTGTGTTTCCAGCAACTTCCCAGGTCAGGTTCATGTTGTTGGACCAAAGGCCACACTTGAGTAGCAGCTATGAGGGAATGTTGGGATGGTTTGATAATTTGAAACCGAAGCTAGGGATAGCATCAAGCTGATGGCATTGAATTCACTTTTCCCGCACTACCCTTAGTTTTTTTTTTTTTTTCTAAATTATTCAGTAAGCTTATAGGAAGATTTTTGCTAGAGGAGATCGCTCCTGTTTCCTGTGACAAAACACACATTTGTAACTTTTAACAAATTAAATAATTCTTGATTTTTAATAAAGTATCACACCCATCCTTTTTGCCTGGAAAAAGACTCCCTTGACCAACCTCCTTTTTTTTTTAAGTTTTCTGAACAACTGAAAAAGTATATTACCACTTCTGGTCAGCAAGGCATTTTTTAGATGGCTCACAATCTTTTTAATGGTAGATCAAATTTAACATTCTGGACACTTGAATACAGGTTACATTTTTTTTTTTCTTTTTTAACTATGGTTAAAAATAAACAGCAGACTTCCCAAGTGGTGCTAGTAGTAAAGAACCTGCCTACAATGCAGGAGACGTAAGACACAAGAGTTCGATCCCTGAATCCAGACGATCCCCAGGAGGAGGGCATGTCAACCCACTCCAGTTTTCCTGCCTGGAGAATCCTGCCTGGACAGAGGAACCTGCCAGGCTACCGTCTATGGGCTTGCGAAGAGTTGAACACAACTGAAGTGACTTAGTTCTCATGCACATAAAGATAGCCAAGGAAACAATTTCAAATGGTTCCTCTGTGCATTAGATACAAGCTGTCTCAATTACTGCGCATTGGTGAGAATTAAGCAACTTCGAGCTTGCAGTGTCCTGTCATGTTAGCTTATTTTATAGGGAAATCAAATCTGACACCTTTCAATTAACATCTTTACCTCTCTAATATAAAAATAGATGGAAGAGTTCTGGAGCAAGAAGGTTTGATTAGTATCTGCAGATTGCCTTTACTTCCCCAACTGTGTCTCCTGTCATTTCAAAGTTTGCTGAAAGTCCTTTTCTAGAAGCAGGAAAACACTCACAGATGGGAGGAAGGTTGCGTTGTTGAAAAATAATTTATTCCTAGTCATGAGCTTGTCAGCTCTCAAAGGAATCACAGTGGTGTGTTTCATCTGTACCTAGAGGTCTCAAAAGAGGGGATAAGTGGAAATGTGTCATGGACTGGAGTTTGGTCATTCTAGGTGGCAACTCAAGTGTGAGCTCTTTGGGAGGCAGACAGAGATGAGAGGAGGCAGGGAGTGGGGAGGGAAAACGAAGTCCTCCCTCTGCCTTCACACGTGCATCTGTAGTCACCTTTAAGCTGCCTCATCGCAGTGGCAGATCAAAAGGATGCATCTTTATGTTTTATGTATAGTTGATATATATTCATGTGCTTAGTCGCTCAGTTGTGTCCAACTCTTTGCGACCCCATGGACTGTAGCCCGCCAGGCTGCTCTGTCCATGGTATTGTCCAAGCAAGAATACTGGAAGGGGTAGCCATTCCCTTCTCCAGGAGATCTCCCCCGACCCAGGGATAGAACTCGGGTCTCCTGAATTGCAAGTGGATCCTTTACCGTAAGAGGCACCAGGGAAACCAGATGCAAAATGGGGACAAAATCATCTAGAAAGATGCATCTTTTTCATTTATCACTTTTTTACTTGATAATTTTTTATTGAAATGTAAGTGATTTACAATGCTGTTTTAATTTCAGGTGTACCAATTCAGTTTTTTATATATTAAAAAATGGCAAATGAAAAAGATGCATCTTTCCAAATAACTTTATCAGTCTCCATTTTGCATTTGTTTATAACTGGAAAGGGTTTCACATTTTTCCACTCAAATTGTATTTTTTGCTCAGTCAGTCGTTTCATGGTGAAATATGACTGTGACCAGTTGCATTTATAAATAGTCATCCTTGATTCAGCAGATTCAGCCCCAGGCCTCTTATGCCTCTCTATTTGGATATGCAAATAGATCTCTGAGAGAAGATGCTGACTGTGATGTAAAATTCACTGCATGATCATTGATAATGAAAGGCAACAATATGATTTTCTTTTGACGATGAAGACAAATCGTTTTCGTTTCTTGAATACCTTTTCAGGTGAATTATTATTACTTAACACATCACTTAACGCCAGCTCCTTGCCTCTGGATGTTTAGTCCCAATCACAGCATTTTTGAAAAGCCTACAGTCAGATCAGCACTTAAGCCATTGTCTACCTTTCACTGACTCTGTTCTCTCTTCTTTCCTACAACAGATTGCAGATTGAGCTTAACCAAGAAGCTCGTGGGCTGATCCGCACTGACCTGACTGAGCACAGAAGAAATTCTGCCAGCCTGGTTGGGCCCCTCTTGGCCGCAGATAACTTGGCTTCACTTGTTGCCTGGGTGGAAAATTCTTCCTATTGAAATACTTTTGCACATGGAGGACAACAGCAAAGAGGCCAACACAGGCTGAGAAGATCAGAGACCTCAAGAAGATTCTTTGACCTTGGCCTTCAGGACATTTCGTCTAGTTGGAGTTCTGGACTTGAGAACCCTGTTCAATTATTTTGGTTTGGCTGTGTGCTTCTATTTTTTATTTTTATTTTTTTACTTTTCTTTTCCCTACAGCGGTGTGTTTGATTTCTGTACTTCAGAAATGGGCCTACAGATCACACAGGGGCCCGGCCAGGGGGCTTTTTTCCTGAAATCTTGGCTTCTCATTTCCCTGGGGCTCTCCTCACAAGTGTCAAAATTCCTGGCGTGCCCCAGTGTGTGTCGCTGTGACAGGAGCTTCGTCTACTGCAACGAGCGAAGCTTGACCTCAGTGCCTCTTGGGATCCCGGAGGGCGTCACTGTACTCTACCTCCATAACAACCAAATTAATAATGCTGGGTTTCCTGCAGAATTGCACAGCATTCAGTCTGTGCACACCGTCTACCTTTACGGCAACCAACTGGACGAATTCCCCATGAACCTCCCCAAGAACGTCCGCGTCCTCCACCTGCAGGAAAACAACATTCAGACCATTTCCCGGGCGGCCCTGGCCCAGCTCCTGAAGCTGGAAGAGCTGCATCTGGACGATAACTCCATCTCCACCGTGGGTGTGGAAGACGGGGCCTTCCGCGAGGCCCTGAGCCTCAAGCTGCTGTTCCTGTCCAAGAACCACCTGAGCAGCGTCCCGGTGGGCCTTCCCGTGGACCTGCAGGAGCTGCGCGTGGACGAGAACCGCATCGCCGTCATCTCAGACATGGCCTTCCAGAACCTCACGAGCTTGGAGCGGCTGATCGTGGACGGGAACCTCCTGACCAACAAGGGCATCGCCGAGGGCACCTTCGGCCACCTCACCAAGCTCAAGGAATTCTCTATCGTCCGGAACTCGCTCTCCCGCCCGCCTCCTGACCTCCCGGGTGCGCACCTGGTCAGGCTCTACCTGCAGGATAACCAGATCAGCCACATCCCTTTGACGGCCTTCTCCAACCTCCGGAAGCTGGAACGACTGGACATCTCCAACAACCAGCTGCGCGTGTTGACTCAAGGGGTCTTTGACAACCTCTCCAATCTGAAGCAGCTCACCGCTCGGAACAACCCTTGGTTCTGTGACTGCAGCATTAAATGGGTCACGGAGTGGCTCAGACACATCCCCGCCTCGCTCAACGTGCGAGGTTTCATGTGCCAAGGTCCCGAGCAAGTCAGGGGCATGGCCGTGCGGGAGCTGAATATGAATCTGTTGTCCTGCCCCACCACGACCCCCGGCCTGCCTCCCCTCACGCCAGCCCCGAGTTCAGCTTCTCCCGTGACTCAGCCCCCCACGTTCTCCGCCCCGATCCCCAGCAGAAGCTACACACCCCTGAGTCCCACAGCATCCAAGCCTCCCACGATTCCCGACTGGGACGGCAGAGAAAGGGTGACCCCGCCGCTTTCCGAACGGATCCAACTCTCCATCCATTTCGTGAATGACACGTCCATCCAAGTCAGCTGGCTGTCTCTCTTCACTGTGATGGCTTACAAGCTCACGTGGGTGAAAATGGGCCACAGTTTGGTGGGGGGCATCGTCCAGGAGCGCATCGTCAGCGGGGAGAAGCAGCATCTGAGCCTGGTTAATCTGGAACCCAGATCCACCTACCGGATTTGTTTGGTACCCCTGGATGCGTTCAACTACCGGGCTGTGGAAGACACGGTGTGCTCGGAGGCCACCACCCACGACTCCTCTGTGAACAATGGCAGCAACACGGCTTCCAGCCACGAGCAGACGACTTCGCACAGCATGGGCTCCCCCTTCCTGCTGGCCGGCCTGATAGGGGGCGCCGTGATCTTTGTGCTCGTGGTCCTGCTCAGCGTGTTTTGCTGGCATATGCACAGAAGGGGGCGCTACACCTCCCAGAAGTGGAAATACAACCGAGGCCGGCGGAAAGACGACTACTGCGAGGCGGGTACCAAGAAGGACAATTCCATCCTGGAGATGACGGAGACCAGCTTCCAGATCGTCTCCTTAAATAACGATCAGCTCCTTAAAGGAGATTTCAGACTGCAGCCCATCTACACCCCAAATGGGGGCATTAACTACACAGACTGCCACATCCCCAACAACATGCGATACTGCAACAGCAGTGTACCAGACCTGGAGCACTGCCATACGTGACCGACAGACGCCCAACGCCACCGAAGCGGACAGACACGGAGACTCTCGAGAACACACACGTGTGTGCACATAAAGACCCGCGGATTACATTTGATAAATGTTACACAGATGCATTTGTGCATTTGCATACTCTGTAATTTATACGGTGTACTATATAATGGGATTTAAAAAAAAAAGTGCTATCTTTTCTATTCCAGGTTAATTACAAGCAGTTTTGTAACTCTTTGCTTTTTAAATCTTAAAAAAAAAAAAATAATAGTTGTTGAAGTACTGTGCAGGGTTGTTCAATGAGAACCCAATGCCAGGGTGAAAGAGTGAGTGATTCTTCCTCCTGATGCAATTCACCACTTCACTGTGGATGCTTCAGAACAAATTCGTTTCCTAGAGTTGGTGGTCAGATAAAAGGGCAGGTTAAAGTGGACTCATCAGAGTAGGGCAGATAATAGTCTTAAAAGAAGAAATGCACCCCAGATATCTTCATACTATTTCTATACTTCTGGGTCTGGAAGAAAAGCGAAAGCTTGTAGAATCTAAGAAAGGAGGTAGTCACCCTGTTTTGACCCAAAGGAGGAAATGCAGAAGGCATCTCTGGAGGAAGTCAGTTCCTATGAGATAAGTTAACCCATCCTGGCAGAATCCAGCAAATGAGACAAGATTTGAAAAGACCTTTGAATCCAGGGGTTGGCTTTCTGACTGGGAACTTGAAAAATCACCTTCAGGCTCCCCTGGCCCTATGTGAAACAGAAACCTGAGTCTGATTTCAGTCATCTTCGGGGCAGGTAGGATATTCCAGCAAGAAAACTCCCTTTAAAAGTGTTACTATTCAAATTATACATCAGGTTGAATCACATTCAACAGAGATATATTCTAGAATACTTTTTTAGAAGAGGCTAATAAAATAATGGGAAGAATTATATTGAATGGAATTATTTTTGATAATGAGAATTATTTGGGTAGATTCACTGCAGCTATGTCAACATGATATTTAGACCAACAAGGGATCAATGTTTGGAACTGGTTATTTTAAAACTGAACTGGTACTGAACTGGTTATTTTAAAACTATTGATACCCTTTAGACAAAAGCACGTAATCAGTGGTCCCATTATACTATATCAACTAACTTTGTTAGTATCATGTTGAAATAGCTTGAATTAATACCTTTATCCCCTCAGAAATTCTTGTCTTCCAATCACCTCACATATATTTTCATAATTAGCTGTTGATGATACATTTGTTGGTCACCCCTCTGCTAAAAAAATTGAAAGAAAACTATGGATGCCAGTCTTGGTTGCACAAAATATCCATACTCACTTCAAAATGTATACTAATTTTCCCTGCTAATAATTCTGTAAAGACACATCAAAGCTGGCAAAATGCCATATATATTTTTTAAAGCAATACTGTGTTTCCACCTTGAACTGACTTTGATCCACTTCCATTTTTTTTTAAATTTCATTTATTCCTTTTAAATTGTGGATGTTCCTCTTCTTTGGGAATTGTGAGGGATGATCAATCTTATATTAACAGGATAAGAGATGAAAAATGAACAAGTCTGGGAGGGAAGGCTTGTTCCCCTAATCTTGGCAGCGGAGGGCATTGAGCAGAGGGCATAGAGAAGAGAACGATGTCCAGGCTTAATTTTAGATACTTTTTGAAGCAACGTCCATCTTCAGAAAGCATGTATAATGTCCTCCTTTCCATCCCTTAGATGTAGAAGGGCTATCGATCACATACACACCTTATCTAAAAAGTACACCCTTGGAAAATTCCTTTGAAAAGCAAATTTAGGCATTTCACTCTGTGTTGCATATTTCCTTGATCACTGGTCATTATTTTAGGAACCTATGATGTTAACGTCACAATCACGTTGCTTTGGCTTTCTCTGTCCCTCTTACTTTAACAAAATAGAACTGTGATGTGTCTTCTTTGTAAAAGTTTAGGTATAAAATGCTATGCAAGTTTTTCTTTATAGTAAGAGCTTTATTTTCTTTAATAATATATCCCCAAGTAGTATGTTTTAATCTCCCTTGTCCCTCAGAATAAGCTGAAAATATAATTGAAGTTATAGTGTTGCAGACACAAGAATCGAAACTGTGCAGTCAAGCTGAAATTAACTATGAATTAATTTGAATTAATTCTAAAGTGACTTTGGTTTTCATTTTAGTCTATTAGCTAGCTCATTTTGACTGTTGCCTTTTTAAAGCTAGGTCCACACAGTGAAGGGAAAAGACAATCTGTGAAAACGATTAGTGTAGCAGTAAGCCATCCGAAATGCAGGACCATGACACGGGGCTTTGTGTATTTAACTGGATAATTCCCTTCCACTGTCCTTTTCTCCTTGGCTGTGTAGATAAAAATATGTGTTCAAATGATGGTACTTTGATTTTTGAAGTTTTTTTTTCCCTTTTATCTACAAAATAATCATTCTCATTTATTTGTATTGTGTATATAACCTCCAGTGGGGTATGTGGCTGCTGAAACAAATGTCTTTGCTTTGAGCCAAGAAGACCAAGGTTAGGGAGGTTTCTATAATGTCTTATGAGATCCGCAGAATTATCTGGGGCTTAAGTCCTATGATGGAGACCTGGTCATGTGAAAAGATTAGGATGATCTGAAATGGTTCTTTTGCTAGAAGGCATTCCTGAGGAGATAGAATCTAGTTAGAGGCTTAATTCTAAGCTTGTGTACAACATGACAGAGACTGCTGAAATCAAGATTGGTCTCCCATTTGTAACAGCATATACCTGGGACTCTCACCCGCACCATAATAGAAAGCACATCACGGAATCTGCACTGTCTTACATGTCTTAGGAAAACCACTGAAGGACCATCAGTGGCAGATTCTGCTTTGATTGGCACTTTTGTTATGGGAATGTTTTGCTGATACATCTGTATGTTGGACCTCTCTTGTGCTCATCATTATTATGCATTTTGAGGTTACCAAGAGTCAAAATTGAAGGAACAGGACAAGACCACGAACAAAGCCATACTTTCCAGTTGATAAAGAGCTTGATGCTTGTCTGACCCAATGGGAGTGATGTCAGATATCATGTGTCTACTTTTAGAGCTAGTAACTCTTACTGTGCAGAAGAAATTCCAAAAGGAAAAGGCATAACCGGGAGCACACAGATATCGCTGACCATTATTCATACCCAGGGTTGTCATGGATACCTACTCATTTAGGGAGACATGTTTGAACGTGGAGAGGCCCCTAGCTTCCTTCAAACTGCCAAATGCATCAGCAGCTCATCACATGGAACAAGCAAAAGCAGAGAGAAAAAAGGGTTGCCCTGCCTATTTTTCTTGTGTGAAAAGTGCAAAAAAGTCTACCGTGAGAAATCATGCAATTTCTAGTTATCTGGATGTTTGTTGAATATTTATTGGATGTTTTCCCTGAGATTTTAAAAAAAAAAAAAGGTATAATGTGACCAGTCTGGTAAAAAGGATGAATAAAATAGCTAATATTATGGCTCCATTTCCTACTGGATCATAATGGTCCTAGTCATTCCACAGGAATCAGAACTTCTTCCCCACTGAGAAGGACAAAGTCTGGGTGTTGTGAGCAAAGTATCCATTCCAGACCAGACACAAGGTGATACACTTGCTGCCCACAGGAAGCAGATGGCTTGGTCAGCTAATCTCACTTGCAGCATCCATTGCAACCTTAGACCTAGAAGTCATCAGTTTCCATTACTTCTTTGCTTGTAACATTTTTCTCACTACCTTATGAAAAGGAGACAGTGTTTCACTTTAGAACAGGAGAATAACGGTTTTGCTCATGATTTACCTTTCCAACTGCATGGGAAAGCAGAATAGAAAAGAGCTCCCCAAAGAGGAAGAGATACACAAAGCAAGCCCCAGACTTCCTTCTTTATTAGTCTTGTCCAGCCTTTCCTGATGCACTTTCTTTAAGTCATGTAGGGAGCAGTAGTTTACCCCCCTTCTCTAATTTCTTCCGGAGCGAGGGTGAAAAGCGAGCTGATAAATGGGGTGCTTGTCCCTGATTATGGGAGAGTTTTGTACACATGGGATCCTGTTGTTATAACAAAAAATCACCTTCTCTTGCTATAGTTTTAGTTTTTCTAGCAGCACACTCACCAGAAGAGCACAAAGCAAGGCCATCACAACAGGCATTTTGAAGCTAGTATCACACACACACTTGCATACACGCACACGCACACCACGCACCGGGGTGTTCACAGTTACATCCTCGGGATGGAAGATGTATACCCTTTCTGAGGCAAGGTGAAGGCGCCGCCCCTGTGTCATTCCTAGGACCAGTATATAGCCACTGACAGTTAATCCTGATGAAGGGTTTTTGTTTGAGCCACAGCCGATTCGCTCCTGGTTTCTGTGTGGTGTGTTCTCGCTGACGAGGGGCTGCCAGGGGGCTGGGAGAGTGCATCACACATCCTCTGAGGCCGACCGCGCCGCACACTTTGTTAACTAGACGCTTCACTCTACACGTTACAGTACCTTGTTGATATATTCAGTAAAGGCTTATTTTAAAAAGAAACCTCATTGTGTTTATGTGAGTAAGTTCATTGGGTTGCGGCCCATCATTTCTGGGTTCAAGTCAAAGAGAAATGAGAGACGCTTCCAGATGCTGGAGGTTGAGAAGGCTGGTCGGAGGTATTAGGGTTTTTCACTTTCTCTTACCTTGGACACAGCTTCTGTGTGTTAAGGCCATTTGACTCCTGTTTTGTGTGAGGGGTTTATATGAAACTGTCATGCTGTTTTCTACTTCCTGACTAAATTGTTATGTTCCTATGAATATCTTTTGAATATACACACCTACCCGAGCATATTATTTTATGTTTGTGAAATCTGTGTTTAGAATATAGATAAATACCAATGTAGTCACCTCATCAGAATAGTCATTTTCCCTATTTCATAATATATCAATTTAAAATGTCATTTCACTTAAGAATCATCATGGTACTTGCTTCTTCATGAAAACATGTTTATTCCTATGCTCAAGTTCAACTCGGGATTAATT